AGTGTGCCTTCTGGGAGAAGAGCCAGCCTATGTAGCCTTGGGCAAGCTGCACTGTGCCAGGATGCCTCCAGAAAAAGGAAATGGTAAACCACTTCTGAGAACTCTTTACCTAGAACTGCCTCGATGGCGTGCAACAATAACAATAGTTATTATTATTCCCCATGTTATGTTGTTATGTGCTGTCAAGTTGCAATCAACTTAGCATGGCCCGCAGTAGAGTTTCTGAGATATTTGCAGAGAGGTTTTACCATTGTTTCCACCCCTTTGAGAATTTCTATGGCCAAGCAGAGATTCAAACCTAAGGTTCCTGAATCCCAGTCCAACAGTGTATCCGCTACACTATCCCAGCTATCACAAATAGCAATTATTTCCTATTATTTCAAACAGTAAGCAAGTTGGTTCCAGAACTTCTGTCTATATGGAGGCATGCTTTCTCCAGGGATCTGTAGCCTTCTCTTTGCTGACAGCTACTTGCAACCCCACTGCTATCAGAGCAGCAATGACAGAGTTGCAAGAACACTGACGCTACCTTTGTCGCCGATAGATTGGAAAGAGAGGGCTGCTAGGGCCACTAGCTCCCTGGCAGTCTCCCAGATGAGTAGAGGAAAGATTTATTTAATTGCAGGAGGAGATAATTTAGTTTAAAGGAATATCTAAGAAGGAAGGCTGATAATAACTCCCCCAATACACACTTTTAAATCCTTTTCTTCCCCCTTAGGATGACCCAGGCCTTCTGTTTTCAAAATCTAAGTAGTCATATGGGGAGACCTTTTGAAATAATTAAGAGGCATCCTGAGTAGTTTAGCAAAGTGCATTTGTAGCAGTGCCACTGCTTAAACTGAGTGAGATTTTAAGAGCATCTTCAACTGTGTGCATTAGTGTGGTCCATTTCCTGAGCTTTTACCCATGGCCCTCAGGCTAATATGTGGACTCTGACAAACCACTTGCTCTTTTAAAATGCTTCCCTCTTGCCTTCCAGTTTATTTGTTCAAGTCACTGGTCACACTGAAGCAGACCATCAAAAGCCTATCCTTTAATGTTGCAACGCTGCAGTTATTTTACATTTGAACAATGTAAAGATATTTCTGCTAGAGAAAGAATGGGAAGGGCTACCACACTGGGAATTTCCACACTTTCCCCCTTTCTTCACATGGACATACAGATCTCTCTCTTGTTTATGTCAGAAGTGCCACAATCCAATTAATAAATACATTGGACAATTTTCACCAAGCAGCAGGCAACATCAAGAGCTTTTGGGTCAGCTAACATCAACTCTTCCATGGCACATATTGAGACAGACAGATAAGAAACATATAACTATATGTGTCTCTATGGGGACTGCTATGTTGGTCTTCTGTCCTCTTAAAGACTATCAAGCTTTATTTGACATGGATTGTAACCCACTGGTGTAACACAGATACATATGTATGTGGAGATGTGAGGAGTTACTTTTTTGGCCCACTGCTTCCAGAATCCCTCAGTTGCTAGCCATGCTAGCTATAATGTTCTGGGACATATAGTCTAAAATTTAATATCCTTCAGTTTAAAGTTATGAAATATGTATGCATTTCTAGACAGATGTATACAAAAATAGGCAGGCTAGTTTAATATAAGGGCTTACTAGATGAGAACGTGATTCTGTACCTAGAAGCAGTAAGCCCTTAATGGGAAAAGACTATTTATTCTTAAAAGAGCTTGCCTCTGTCTACAGTGGGCATATTATCCTGTTCTTGTTTTATAACTGATCAGTGACAATCCAGCTTTCTTTGCAAGTCTGATGTCACAGACAACTGAAAAAAAAATGTATGCCTGGAGGCATAACATTGAAAGAATAATTTATTATATATATATTCACATGCATACACAGGCTCAAACATGCACACACACAGGATTCCTCCCACCAATACAAAATGAAAGAATTGCTATTCTAGGCAATATGGTGGTTTTGTAAACCAAGGTTTGTCTCCATCTTGTTTAGCAAAACAAAATCAGTTAAAAATAGAGTGTTTCTTTAAAAATTCAAGACATCCCCTTCTAGTTACTCTCTTGAAGGGCCTGGTGTTCTATCGGTACAGATGAATGGTCCCAGGGACTCCGAGCATGTTTACCTTGACGTAATGTGTCTTCATGTCATATAAGAGGCTCCCATGTACAGTATTGGGTCTGACTTATGATCAATTGTTAGTAGCAGTAGTTTTCCAGGATTTCAGGCAGAGGTAAGGCAGCCAATTGTGCATACTACCCATTATATTAATATACATGCTATTTTTAAATGCAGTCTTTGAGAAAGTGTTGTACAGTTGTGCCTCGCCTGACGATGTTAATTCGTTCCAGCGAAATCGCTGTAGAGCGAAAACATTGTCAAGCGAAATTAAAAAACCCATTGAAACGCATTGAAAACCATTCAGTGCATTCCAATGGGCGGAAAACTCACTGTCCAGCAAAGATCCTCCATACGGAGGTCATTTTCGGTGCCACTGTCCAGCAAAGATCCTCCATACGGCGGTCATTTTCGGTGCCTAAAGTGAGGAATCCATCTTAGAAAACAGAGGGGGGCCATTTTCTTCAGCCGTTGGACATTTTGAAACCTGACAATCAGGTGTTTGCTGATTGTCGCAAAGCGAAAATCGGTTCCCAAAGCAGGGAACCGATCATCGTTAAATTAAAAAAAACATTTAAAACATCGTTTTGTGATCGCAAAAGCGATTGCAGAAACCTAATTGTACAGCAATTTTGGCATAGAGTGTGGCAATCGTTAAGCAAGGCATGACTGTAATTTAAAGAGGAATACAAAACATCTCACTACAATGATGACTGGATGACTTAGGGATGCTTGTTCAGTTTGCTCTCTTAATTGTGGATGACCACCTTCATGGAGCCTCCTGTTCTTCCTTGCTAGGGTTCTTTCTCCTTTAGCCAGACTGGACATCCCTTGAAACAGAGTACATGTTTAGATAGAGGGCTGTGTTTTCTAAAATAGGACACATGGCCCACAAAGCGAGGTATTGAAGTGGAAGTATCCTGAGTTGGGTTTTCCTTATACATGAGAATCTTCCAGTTTTAATGGAATGTGGATGTCATTCTAATCTAAGAAATAGTGAAGTAAACAATTAAATATTTCCAGTTCCATCTATTAATGGAATACATGAAGCTACTTCATGTGAACTGCTTGACTGTTTAGACTTAAGTGCTCATTCTAGTTGTTAGTTCCAGCAAGAGTAGACCCAATAAATGAATGGGATTTAATCAACATTTGTGTAAGTCCCATTGATTCAGTTGCTCCACTCTAGTTGGGACTTTGAATTACTGTAGATTTAGTCCTAAATTTCCTAAAACTTCATAGGAAAAATGGACATTTATTTCAAGTTTTCTTTGAGGATGCAGGAACAAAATAAAGCTTTTAGACTGCTCGCTACAAAAATACAAAATATAACAATTCACGATCACATTTTCAATCCAAGTATGTTGAAGCTATGCATTTAAAACTATGCTTATTAACAAATCCTTTGCTGTGATAATCCTGCAAACACAGATATTCTATTTCGAGCACATCTAAATGTGTTCAAGCAAGAGCCTGTGGATTAGAAGGTAGGAGCTGCGGACAACTAAGGTCCCACTGTATTGCAGAGCTCCAGTAAAGGCAATAAGGCAGAAGGTGAACTTGGATTCAAATCAGGTTGGGACAAAGGGTAAAGAGTCAGATTTTTAACTCCAGTCTCAGAGAGAAGTCACTGAAGGGCATTTTCTGATACAGCAAAGTGGTGAAAGAGGAAAAGGAACAGGATGGTGAAAAACTCTAATAATTCTACTGCACTCCCATTTTGTCTGAAACAGAATTTTCAGGTTGCTACTCAGGTAATGGGAGGACTCTCAAATTGGAAGCCCCCTGCATATCTTTTTGTAGGTGTGAAATAAAAATCTCCTGTTTAGGAAGAAGGACTGGGGGAGAGAGATCCAGGGAATCCATTTCTTCCAGTTCTTCTGTTCCTCTGGTACCCCATGCAAAACTACAGTCTGCCTTAAAAGCATATGATTTCAAAGGCATTCTTGGGATGCAGTGAGGAATGTATCCCAGTGGCTCTTCTTCACGCTTGATGTCTGAGTCTGGTTGGAATGAAAGAAGGAAAGGAGCCCCCTAAAACACAAGGCCTTTTTTCTCTATTCCTCGGCTTAAGGCAATTAGCTTTTTCAGTAATGAAAAATGTGACTGAACATTTTCGTATGATTATGAAATTAGACTTTCATTAGAATGTGATTATCTAGGGGTTTAGGGAGGGGTTTGGGAGGGGGAACCTTGAAATACTTTCAGAGGAAAGCATGCACATTTAAAAGTTCTCCAGAAGCCCTGTGGGTTGGATCCAATGGCCCCTTTACTCTGACTGAAGGTTCCTTCTGTTGGAGAGAGGAAACCTATGGATCTAGTCCAGGGGTTTCTAGTCTTAGGTGACCCAGGTGTGACTGGATTGCAACTCTCAGAAATCCTGGCCTGCACACGTACAATACTTTCAGAGGAAAGCATGCACATTTAAAAGTTCTCCAGAAGCCCTGTGGGTTGGATCCAATGGCCCCTTTACTCTGACTGAAGGTTCCTTCTGTTGGAGAGAGGAAACCTATGGATCTAGTCCAGGGGTTTCTAGTCTTGGGTGACCCAGGTGTGACTGGATTGCAACTCCCAGAAATCCTGGCCTGCACACCTACTGGTGGAGGCTTCTGGGAGTTGCAGCTCAAAAACCTCTGGGTTAGCCAAGGTTGGAAACCACTGATCCAGTCCTCTTTTTCTTCTCTCTGGTACTGGAATTAACACTTCAGAATTCCAATTTATTTCAGTGTTGTGAGTTCAGAGGAAGGATTGTTAAACATCCAATTCATTGGCTTCTGATAAATATTCAAGTTATTTGATTTTTTTTTAAAAAAAATCTCCCTGATGTTTAATACAATATCTTTCATTTTAATTCAATAAACAATGGATGTAAATAAACTTCAAACTTTATCTTTTACAGCTTGCTCAGATATTACCAACAGAAGAGAACTTCCTCTTATTCTTTAGGTGCCAGCAGTTGAAATCAAGTGAAGACTTCATGCAGGTAAGCTCTCAGAAAATCAATGTGTGTGTGTGTGTGTGTGTGTGTGTGTGTGTGTGTGTGTGTATATGGTGGGTGTGTGTGTGTGTGTATGCCACATATGTCTGTCTGTCTGTCTGTCTGTCTGTCTGTCTGTCTGTCTGTCTGTCTGTCTGTCTGTCTCTCTCTCTCTCTCTCTCTCTCTCTCTCTATCTATCTATCTATCTATCTAATCTCATCTCTCTTACTTTTTGTTTTAAATGAATATTTTCTCAATTCCAGACATGGCGAAAATATGATAGTGACCATAGTGGCTTTATTGATGCTGAAGAGCTTAAGGTAAGACACTCCATATATTTATTTTTAAAATATACTGTATTAAAAACCCTTCATGCCCTCTAGTGGGCATAGAGGGTTATTATGCGAGGTTTTGGCATCCCTTTGAGTTTGTTTGTTTGTTTTTAACGTTCACAAGAATTCTTTTTTATTTTTTGGAAAACTAAAGGTGATGGGAAATCACTTGAAGTAGTGAAAAAGCCAACATCTAGCATAAAACAGCTCACAGGGGCAGGGTCAAAAACTGAAACATTGCCACCTAGAGAGGCAGGAGGGGATTTTCTGAGCATTTTTTTAAAAAATGTAATAGTATGGTGCCTTGGGATGTGTGAAAGACAGGCCCCACTTTGCCTACCATTGGTCTAAACAAGCAGCCCATTGCATGGAAATTGTGTCTGTATTGTAGCGCTGTGCAGATAGTCACTCAAAAAATTTCTTCCCCTTCCATCTCTCCCTAATCCTCTGCACCGCTGTTTAAGGCATGTTTTAGCCCTAGGGTAGCTATATTACGTGACCGGCTGGGTTTTACCTGGTTTTTAGACATGCCACCTGATGCTTATTTAGCCCATCAGCTGGCCTGGTTTCTAGGTTTTCTTTTATTTTCTTTTTTAAAAGTAAGTCTCTTATAGAACTGGAGATGTAAGGCAAATTATGCAGTTACTATTTGGGTCAATAGTTAAAAAAAAACACCCACATGTTTCTGTGTGGTTAGTCAATGGCTGAAGGCATCTACAGTTTTAATAAGATCTTATAAAAATGTTAACTAAGGACACTGGGTGAATATTTCAACTGTCTGGTTTGTTCCTCCAGATAATACACAGGAAGCAATTAGCAATGAATACTGGCTGGGAGGGTAGGAGAGCTGCAGTTAAAAAAAGGGAGGGGAAATTTCTAAATGTTCATGGTATGTAGCTCACTATATTTTCTCGTTAGGAAGAGGATTCAACTTGATGTCCCTTGGGATCCCTTTGAGCTTCGCCGTCTATAAGGATTCTCTGAAATCTTTACTCATGTGTATATAATAAAATATATACTATATAAATAATAATAGCAACAATAACAACAATAACTGCTTTAGAACTGCCGAGCTGGAACGGATCCTATAGATCATCAAGAGTATAGTTCAGTATGGCCAGTTCAGTATGGAAAGGGACACAATGGCTCCAAATCTTGGCAAACCCGGACTAACCAGTGGCACCCAGGGCTTACTAGCTACACATAAATGTGTGGTGAACACCAAAATGCCAAGGGCAAAGAGTCAGAGGCTGACTGCTTTTAGGCACATCATGTCACATGGAGCACAGTAGGAGGATAAGTACTAGGGTTAGTACTTGTTTGTCTTCTTGTAAGACAAGATCTGGTAGAGGTGGTACAAGGTTTTCGGGGGAGGGGGACTATGCATGGCCATGGTAACAAGCCTTCCTCAAGCACCAGTAGTGATATTCAGCCTGGGGAAAAAATCCTCATATATGTGCTATAGATAAGGCTGCATGGAGTGCGAACTGTAATAGGACTGGCAGCAACCGCTTCAGCTTCTGGGAACATTTTGCTCTCTGCATGACTCTATATTTCCCTTACACCAGTGGTGTCGAACTGTGGCCCTCCAGATGTTCTTGGCCTTCAACTCCCAGAAATCCTGGCCAGCAGAGGTGGTGGTGAAGGCTTCTGGGAGTTGAAGGCCAAGAACATCTGGAGGGCCACAGTTCGACACCACTGGTGTAAGGGAAATATAGAGTCATGCAGAGAGCAAAATGTTCCCAGAAGCTGAAGTGGTTGCTGCCAGTCCTATTACAGTTCGCACTCCATGCAGCCTTATCTATAGCACATATATGAGGATTTTTTCCCCAGGCTGAATATCACTACTGGTGCTTGAGGAAGGCTTGTTACCATGGCCATGCATAGTCCCCCTCCCCCGAAAACCTTGTACCACCTCTACCAGATCTTGTCTTACAAGAAGACAAACAAGTACTAACCCTAGTACTTATCCTCCTACTGTGCTCCATGTGACATGATGTGCCTAAAAGCAGTCAGCCTCTGACTCTTTGCCCTTGGCATTTTGGTGTTCACCACACATTTATGTGTAGCTAGTAAGCCCTGGGTGCCAGATGGGAATGGGTGAAGATGAGTGCCCAGGTGTTTTTAAAAAATCAAATTTGCATGAGCTTCCATGGAGATTTGCCCTTCCACCTAGAGACCCAGGCAATAGAGATTTATAAGGGTTTCAGCTTGCAAGCTAAGATTTAGCAACCTTACTTATTGGGGGGGGGGAGCGGGGTAGGCACAGTGGAGAGGGAAGTCAGTCCTCTCACTTCCTCCAGATTCCACTGTTTCACGAGTGCAAATCCACTGCTGGCTCCAGGGATGGGGATTTGAGTTGCTGGTCTTACTGCCAAGTTGGACTTAAGTTGCACCTGTGACTCAGCTCAGACTTGACTTGGGATTTTTTAAATTTTTTTTAAACTTTTTTTTAATTATATAAATCCATCCATACTGGTTTAACATTGTGTCACCAGGGTACAGCTTATAATCATTTGTAAAATAACTACTACACACATTACACTCCTAATCTATACAACATCCTTCTAACCATTGATAGAATAAGTCCCATGTTTGATAATATTTTGTATCTTCTTTTCCTTTGATTTTCAGTGTTAGTCTGTCCATTTCGGCGCAGTCCAGTATCTTTTTAATTATTTCTTGATCCGTAGGTGTTCCTTCATTTTTCCAGTACTGTGCATAAATAATCCTCGCCGCTGTTAGAATATGCAGTATTAAATATACATTTTGTCTATCAACACTTTCTGGTATTATACCTAACAGAAAGAGCTCTGGCCTAAAATCTACATGTTTTTTGATTATTTTAACAAGCCATGTATGTATTTTGTACCAAATTTTTTTTGCTTTATCACAAGTCCACCAGAGGTGATAATAGGTTCCAGTTTTTTTAATGACATTTCCAACATTTACTTGACCTGTTAGAGTACATCTTAGCTAATCTATCAGAAGGTAAATGCCATCTATAAAACATTTTATATAGATTCTCTATAAGATGTTGCCATTCTCATCTTATAGTTTCTAGACCACAGCCCTTGCCATTTTTCTAAGTCAATATTGTACCCAAAATTTTTTGCCCCGGGATTTTTTTTAAAATGACTCAGACTCAACTTGGGACTCAGAACCTGCACACCCCTCCCTTTTTTTCTGAAAAAAAGAGGACTTGTTTTTAATAGAAACTACAGCTTGGGTCTTGGAACTCAAGACTTGGTGCCAAAGACTTTGACTTTGACTTGGACCCAAAGTCTAGCCAACATCCCTAGTTGTATCCTGCCCTTGGACTGCGTTACTGGGAGTTCCTTCCTGCAAAGAAAGCAACAGCAACTAGAAAGTTAAGTGTCATGTAAAAGGATTCTAGCTAAGCTTTCTCCTGACATGCAGGGTTCGATGTGCAGGAAGGATATTCAGTCGTGCATTTCAGTTCTTGCACTTCAAGGCAGTACAGCCCAGGAATATTTTATTTAATGAAACTGTTTAACTAGAGAACCTCTCTGAGTGGCAGATTGGTAGTTCCTGTATTTTGACAATTATTTAAATTTATTTGTTCTAGGACAGTCTCCTCCAGTGTTATGCCCTACAGATATTATGACATAAGCTCCCTGAATCTCAGTTCCCACTGGATATATTATTTCATGGAGTTCATTAGCTATGTCTTCCACCAGCTCCATGTTACAATTTTGTCCTTGTGCTCCTGCCCATTGCTACTGTGCATCATTTAGAGCAGAACTTTGCCTTCCTAATTAATGATATTACAAGTTTAAAATCTGGTCCAAAATATCAAAAAAGCAAAATACTCCAAAGAATAGTTTTAAGAGGTTAGAACAGGTGTGTGTGTGTCTAGTTTCTAGCCGATGGGCATATCCAATTCCCAAGGTCTTCAAACTTCTTTCTTAATAGGGAATTTTAAATGTCACTAAACTAGGACAATCAGCTGATCTACTGGGAAAACGAAAGTGAGGTGTGTTTTTCTGAAGGTCAGCAATGCAGCCTCTTTCCTTCCTTCAAATTTGTCAGCAAAAAATGGAGAATGTGGAGGTACAGAACCTGTCTTTGAAGGCTAAGACTTTCCCCCAAATAGGTGACAGTGGCATTCTACTCCAGGCAAGAGAGCAAACCAATTTAAATGAGAGTATTATTTCTACACAGGTAGCTGTGCTTAAGAATCACATTATCTTAGGAAATTGAAAGACATCTAGATGGAGGGGTGGATTTTGAAGAAAGGAAGTATGAAAAAAATGCTGCCTTCTCCCACACTTGTCCTCCCACATGTATCTCTCTAGCTCGATTGGGTATTGTACATGTAACACAATGCCACTTATAACATTCCCATGTGGGCTGATCAGTATTCTTTGCCCCATCAACAGCTGCTGGACCAGTCACATGCTTAGAAGGGCAAGTGGAAGACTAGATTTAAACTCTTGCCATGACATTCTCAACATAGCCAAGCCAACTGACGGCTAGGATAGCTGCTGGTTTAACAGAGCCATATATGTGCAGTGTAGGATCAGAAAGGTTTCTCTGTTCTGTATCAAAGGAGGGTTGAAGTGTGTGTGCATGCATGTATGCTCCTCCTCAAAATATAGTCTAAGGTGTGACATAAGAACTGAAATGATCACTTTAACTACCAATAGGAAAACAGAAGCCTTGTGTTTCTACAGTATGAATGTTGTTTACTTTTTTTTCAATTTTTTTTATTTTTTAACATGATGGGTGACAGAAAGGAAAAAGGGAATTGGAATTAATGAGGAAGAGGAGAGACAATAACATGCTAACATCCATTCTATACCTATTGCTATATCAAGATTTTAGGTTATTCTGTTTACTCTTTTCTGCCTTCTAGATTATGTTGTATGAATGTTGTTTACTAAAGGTCCCTCAACTGCTTCTGCGGTGGAGGCAGGGATGGAGAAATGAGGGGGTCTCCTTCCCCAAATTCACTACCTACTTGCACCAGAGTCTGGGACACAACCTGGGGGCTACAGCAAGGAGGTGGTGCAGAACACAACAACTTGTTGCTTGTGCCTGCAGAACACAACAACTTTAGCTGCTGGCCTGTATACTTGCATCAGAACTCTTCATGGCAGACAGCAGAGGTCCATTGGGCCTAAACTACACTGAGAGAAAATAGAATGGGTTCCTGACTCCCCACTAATTGATGTAATGGACCTAAGGGTGTCACTCTGAGGCCCTGCCTGCTGCACACCACAACACAGGAAGAGCCCACAGCATGGAACTGTGCTGTGCCAGACCCAAGATTCCTGCCAGGCCATCGGTGTTACTCCAGCAAGCAGGCTGAAGGGAGTATTCATTTGGAGTGAAATTGTGTTGAATTTCGTTCCAGGTCTTCTCCATCCCCTACTTTTGGAGTATTGAGTGATGGGAAGTTATGGACATTTTGAGCCCACTGAAGCAGTTGCAGTATTTGCCTCTTCCTAAGCCCTACCATCCTCTACAGCACTGGTTCTTAACCTTGGGTTACTCAGGAGTTTTGGACTGCAACTCCCAGAAGCCTTCACCATCAGCTGTCCTGACTGGGGTTTCTGGGAGTTGCAGTTCAAAAGCATCCGAGTAACAAAGGTTAAGAACCACTGCTCTACAGCAATGGTCCCCAACCTTCGGCCTCCAGATGTTATTGGACTTCAACTCCCAGAAATCCTGGGAAATCCTGGACAGCAGAGGTGGTGGTGAAGGCTTCTGGGAGTTGTAGTCCAAGAACATCTGGAGGCCCAAGGTTGGGGACTGCTGCTCTACGGTGTAGAAGCAGTACAGATGTTGACTTCATGCCTCAGCTTTAAATAAATTTATAATCAAAATTGGGGAAAATATTTTTTAAAATTATTATCCCTTGTGGCCAGTATGAGATTTTGACAGTGGCAATTGTCTTTGAGGTGTTCTGGGACCTGTAGCCCCAAAAAGTAAATTTCCTGTCTCTTTTATACCTTCATTGTTAAATATGCTAAATAAGTGCAATCCTGCATATGTTGACTCTGAATTGCAAAACACTTCTTACTGAGTTCAATCAAGCTTACTTCTAGCTAAATGTGAATAGAATGAGACCATTTATGCATAAAAGGAAATGGTAAAGTATCCTTACATATTTCATCCTGAAAATGAATGTGAATTGAAGAAAAAATAATCTCTCCCTACTGCTAAGCCAGGTAAATTACCATTTTTGACATATTTGTTTTGTTACAGAGCTTTTTGAAAGACTTGCTACAGAAAGCAAACAAGCAGATTGAGGATTCAAAGCTGTCAGAATATACAGACATCATGGTAAGAGCAGTAACAAGTTCCTATTTCATTCAGGAAATTCGGTTTCCCTCTATCCATACTAATACATTCAAATAGGAACTAAAGCATGTCCCTTTCACTGATTTATGGATTCATTGGCAACATAAGCTTCAAAGGCACTGAGCAAGGAAAGAGAAATGCAACATCCCAATGTAGGAAGCTTTGAGGTACTCATTAGGAGAATCTACCAGATACTCCTTGTAGTGCAGCCTAAATTCAACTCAACGGGGCTTTTGCAAGCTCCTATAGAATGGAGACTATCTGGCTACAGTGGTTTTCTAGATGAAACCTAGGAGAAATTCAACTGTACTTTGTATTTTACATACACAAAATGCCTTCTGAACTTGTAGGACCCAGTTTGGCACACTGGCATTGTTCAGGTTAAATTTCAGCGTAACCATATTTTTTAAAAAAAGTATTATTTTTGTACAAAGTTACAGCACTAGTCTATTTACAGGAAATCAGCATTCGCACGTGTCTGTATAGTGTTTTGTTGGTGGAGAGATAATTGAGTCTCAAGGGAGAAAGGTATATGCATAAGACCACCTTTTAGAAATCAAACCTGTGGGTATGAATTCAGAAGTGCCTTCCTGTGAATGCAATGGTATATATTTGGATCCAGCAGATGAAAGCGGGGAAGTATTGGATCTCCACATTGCCACCACCAATGGTGGTTTCCAACTGGTTCCCAACCTTAGGTCCTCAGTTGCTCTTGGATGACCACTCCTAGGAATCCTAGCCAGCACAGCTAGTGGTGAAAGCTTCTGGGAGTTGTTGTCCAAGAACATCTGGGGTTCCAAATTTGGAAACCATTGGTGTAGACTATCAGAATATTGGAAAGGGAAATGAGACCAACTAAAGTAGACCCATTAACTCAGGTGAGCCTGCGTGAGCCTAGTCTTACCAAATGCCCATTAATTTATTGGGTCTACTCTAGTTTGGACTAACAATTGGATTTAGGTTGTTGCTTAAAATGCCTGCTGAAATAAAATGAGTTTCAATGTTTCTGCAACATCAGGCAACCCAATGGCCAAGTGTACTTTTCTAATGAGTCCAGTTCAGTTACACTCATCTGCAATATTGCCAGGAGACAAAGTGATGTTGATTTTAAGAAAACTTTGTGTTTTTTCCTCTAATCTTGCCCAAAATATTCACACATCTCCCCAAATAATATTTCAGCTCAAGATGTTTGATGAAAATAATGACGGAAAACTGGAATTAACTGAAATGGCCAGGTATGTATATTTAGAGAAGAAGAAAAATTGAAAAATATGAACATTCACTGTACTCTCTGTGTTGTAGTGGATAGAGTAACAGACTCAGCAGTTTGAATCCCTACTCAGCTATGGGGTTAGCACTGGTAAAACCACTCCTTAAATAATGCACTTACCTTGAAAACCCTGTTACAGTCATAATCAATTCAGTCTCATTCACTTAAATATTGCACTTACCTTGAAAACCCTGGTTACAGTCATAATAAATTCAGTCTCATTCGATTGCACATATAAGTTCATTTTTACTTGATTATGCATAACAGAGTGTCAATCTTTAGATGAAATGTAGAAGGAAAGCATTGCCTCATATGTAACACTGAGAAAATGGCATATATGAACTACAAAGTCCAATGCATTTAGGGAATAAAACCTTCTTACTGAAATTCTTCCTAAAAGAGTAGTCTTCTTTTGTACAAACAAAATTATTTTGTTTTATTTTATTATACTTTTCGTTGTATTTTCTTTTGCACCTTTATATTTTATGGATGTTGTTAAGTTTTTTGTGATTATGTTTTTGTTATTGTTTAGTTGTTGTAAACCACCCAGAGTGGCCTTGGCTGCCAGATGAACGGTATAGAAATCACATGCATACATGCGTGCGTGCGTGCGTGCGTGCGTGCGTACGTACGTACGTAGGTACGTACGTACGTACGTACATACATACGTACATACATACATAGGCACTGCTGTCCTATTTGATGTAGGCTGCAGAGCTGAAGGCAGGCAAACTGCATTATCCAAAGTCCAACTAGATGACAGAATTCACATAGTGGAATTTGACAGTTTATTCCTATCCATTTCATTTCTGGGTTGGATATTTTTTTAAAAAACTATTTTCCTTCTATTGGAAGTAATTTACACTGGCTTCAGGGCTGAAGTATAGGTCTCTGTCTTTTGGAATACACCCTGGGAATCTAACCCCAAATCCCGCTCCCCCATTTCTAATTCACTCCATTTTTTCCTTTGCTGATGTTAAGAGTCCCTACATTAGGAAGGTTATAAGCTGCAGTAGTTTCTCTTGGAACTTCAACAGCATGCTGAATGTTGGATCCCTTCTCCAGCTGTAGATCTCTCTGGTTGTCCTCAGAGGGAGAAATCTAAGCAAAGTCTCTAGAATGCACTCCCATAGGATTGCAGCTAATGAGATGCTTCCAGAGAAAATCTTATCTAATATTCAAATTCTTCTAATGAAGAATTTAATTGTTTTGAAACAAAATAATTATTTTAAAGAATTCTTGTGTGTTGTTTTTTTTCCCAAAGATTGCTGCCGGTGCAGGAAAATTTTCTCATTAAATTTCAGGTATGCAGCATCATACTGCAAAATTGAAACATATTATTATATAAGCAGATAACCCAACCGCTTCTGTTCTAATACTTGTCATTTTCTTGAATATTAGGGAGTCAAAATGTGTGCGAAGGAGTTCAATAAAGCATTTGACACATTTGATTCAGTAAGTATACCTTTAAAAAGAAATCTATAAAGCAAATGTCAGTTTTCTTACATGTTCTACAAGCTCAATTTATCCAGCTGAAGGGTGCAAGACAAAATGAATGCTAAAATCAGCTGTGTCATCTCATTTTTTTTAGGATGGAAATGGCTATATAGATGAAAATGAATTAGATGCTTTGCTGAAAGATCTCTGTGAAAAGAACAAAACGGTAATTCTGTTTTTCTTCATCTGCATTAAACATGGATTTAAATAATACTTTAAAAGACGTAAGATAGAGAATAATAATGGCTGACTTTGAAATATAAGTCAGTTTATTTAGGTTTCTGGATATAACAATGAGCACTAATTATCCTTATCTTACTGGTGTTCACAGATTGGAATAACTTGTTGCAGCTAATTGTGGCTAATTAATCCTGGGTTTTGTCTTGATTGCATGCTTGTTCATGAGTTTGACTGAACAACTGAAATGTGTTTGGCATCCTGTCAGTTAGTCAGACACCAAGAGATTCTAGCCAGGATTCCAGCTAGAATTCTGGTCGTCTTTGTGCAATTTGCTGTGGTTAAGTGCAACTAATTTATGAGGTGTTGGGGTACATCACCGCTGCATAGTTCACAGATTGATACATGCCCCAACACCTCATCAATTAGCTGTAGTACGGGATGCAAACCTTAAGCAGACACCAGAAGGATTCTGGCCAAAATCTGGAATACCAACCCGCATGGGTTTATTCCAAGAATATAATTAGCTATGTACAGTATTTTTTAAATACACTGTTAGCACTGTAAAGTCTGCCAAATTGTTCCTTAGCCTCCTCTGAGGAGGAAAACAGGAACCATTCTATGTTCCTCCTCTAAAGTAGGTATGTGTTCCAGTGTAGCTTTTGGAAAGGATACACCAGGATAATAGTCACTCTTCCCAAGCGATCTGCCACTGTCCCTTTCGAGCAGCCTGGCAGACAACAACAGTAGAACAGAAATTTCCACTGGGGAGCCATGTTAGTCAATCACAGCAAAAAATAATAGTCTGTGGCACCTTAAAAGAAAAGGGTCAAACCAGGCAGTGAACCCATCATAAAAAGGGGAACACCCTTAAAGGATTTGATTTGTTTGTTTTTCCCATCCCAGGATTTCTCAACTCCACAAGTTGCAAACAGCTTGCTATATTTAATGATTGATAATTGGGAGGCAAGCTCAGGTTTCATTGACAAGTTGACTTTGCAGGTAGAATAGCTCTGAAGGACTGAATTTTGGCAGGGGTTGCAGTGCTATTTTACCAGAACATATCTGATTTGTAAAAAACAACAACAACATATTTTGAAAGTATTATTAACATGTTAAAGGTCACTTTCAAAATGTTATTGTTTGGTTGGCTTGTCTTCCAGTTACTATGAAGGTAATGTTAAGGTTATCATGTTAAATATAACATGTTATTTCCACAATGTCATTGTGTTAGTTAATCTAACTTATGGTGAGTAAGGATAGGTATTTTGGTACAAAAACATCTGGAAAGTCACAACTGTCCATCCTATTGTAGATGGAGATTTTCTGGTTAAGATCTAATATTATATATAACATATCTGGTTAGGATCTTATATTATATATTGCATGTCTATATTTTTGTGTGAATAGTTTTGGAAGTGCAGATAGAGCAAGCAGAAATGGGCAGGCAGCTGATATGTGCAGGAACCTTATCAGGGGTTTGGAAGGCTTCAGCTCTTTGCTCCCTAGTGAAATTTTAATCCTAAATACATATGCACCCTGCTCTACAGTCCCCTCTTCTTCATATTTTCAAAAAAACATTCACACAATGATGCAACGTGCTTAAGGCAACTGGCTGAAATGGTTTTATAAAATATATTCAGGTACTTTTGTATCAAAAGTATACCTAATGTATTGTAATCCACGGAGCGCAGGGATTATTTTCTTTCATACTTAAATGGAATAGACTAGGGCTATAGAATCTTCATACAATACTATCCCTTTGTTATCATCATGTGGATAAATTGATATGAGTATTTCTATAAACCATTTTCTCTCTTTTCACAAACAGGTATTAGATATTAACAATCTTGCACAGTACAAGAAGAACATCATGGCCTTGTCTGATGGAGGAAAACTTTATCGAACAGAACTTGCTCTTATTCTCTGTGCTGGGGAAAACTAGATCTGTTTGATCACATCTAACTTTACTAGTGATATACCTTTAAAAGAAAACAAAACAAATAACAATAACTGTGCACTATAAGGGAGTAGGCTTTACTTTCTTTTATACCTTGTAAATTTAAAACTGCATGTAGATAATTAGCCAAGATATGTGGCTCATTCTTTTCAGCTTGTTTCTATACTGTTTGTAATGTACAGTTTTTGTAACTATAAGATCGATAAAGAGGATGTCTATGTTTGGGTCAGTCTGTCGATTCATTTACAAACAAAAATAACATCCCGCAAATGGTTATGCCTTCATGGAAAGTGCTGGAAGATTATTTTAACACTCAGCTAATACTGTTTTAAGCTTTTCCTGTCCTTTGAGAATTGCTACTACAGCAATAATGGTGGCTATTTATTAAACCGGCCTTTCTGATCATGATAGAGAGAATCACAAGTTCAGAATAACAACATAGTTGTCAACACAAGAGAACTTAAGACAGAAGTGGGCAAAGTGTGGTAGTCCAGGTAGATTGCAGTTTCTATCATTCCTCACCATGGGCTGTGCTGCCTAAGACAACACATGAGGAGAAACTCATGGGCTATGTTGGCTAAATGGAGAAGCACACCTTACCTACCACTGACCGTTGACATGTCTGGCTGACTGACTTGTGGGAATGTCATCCCAAGGGGAAAGCACAATAGATTTCGGTGACACATGTGAGCAGGAAAGAGAGGATGGACAGGCTCCACTATGGTCTGCATTCCAGATGGCACTGCTGCCTGCTGGCTCGGTCAGTTGATTACAGGGAAACCCTTCCTAAGAGATGGAGGGGATGCATAGGTATTGGGTATCATAGCGTGTATGGAAATAGAACTCCATTTGAATGTTGAGCATAACCTGCGACATATTTGCCCCAAGAACTGGCCAATCCCCCACTGATGAGTTATTTGAAGCAGCTGAGGAAAGTTCAGTAAGCAAATCTATTACTTGGGCACTACATTATGTGCAGTGTTTCAACTAACGGGGGAGAGATTTAGGGTTCATGGCATATAAGCAGAAATAATAGAAAACTTAGCAGTGCTATGGCTTACTTTCATAGAGTTAATGCCCACTCTATCATTAACTTCACAGATATCCAGTGTCCCTTCCTTTACACACTAAAGTGATAGGTACCTCAGCATACAGAGGCAAAGAATTTCATGAGGAGCCTTTAAGCTACTGTTGTAGCCAAGCAAATGCAACAGCGTCTTTTACTGGACAACCTGTATGCTTATAAACAAAAGAATACAATAAACTAAAGGGAAGCAGAATAATTCAGATACCAATTGGCCTCGTACTATACTTTAACCTTTTGCTTTAATGACTGCTGCTATGTCAGAGAGATACAATTCATTTTCTAAAACTATTTCCACACTTTGCAGAATATTCTCATTCTTGCAAACTGCTGTTTTTACATCATTCTGTGTAATCTGTAATTAAATTTAATATACTAAGACTACCGGTGTCCAGTTTGTCTACTTCCTATATTCTGTTAGTAGGTAATTAAAAAATAACCCACATTTGTACAGATTGATGAACAACAAGGTTAACCTCATATTGAACCAGAATAATTTGGTCACAGCCAAATACTTGCCATTTCTATTCAATGTCATTTAAACAGACCCTCTTTTTCATGAAGGCAGTTCATAAATTGGTTGAAATTTATAGCACATATTCACCAGAAGCAACATTGTTCCTCTGTGTCTCCTCAACTGGGAGTTAGCTGCACAGAACATAGCAAACATTTCATTCTAAGTACGTAAACAAATACAGAACCAAACAGTATATTCCATTCAGTTGTAGGGCTCAGTTGCTCCTAGATTGCATTGGATTGTGCCCAGGGACAATGGGCACAGAGGCTACACAGGATAATTTTGAGAGGTATTGACCTACATGGGCTGTTTAAGTGCCTCCTGGAAGAAGTCAGAGGTACAGGAATGACTGTATGGACATTTTAAAATGATAACTTGTAGAAATAAAACATGGGTCTGGTTCAGTTTGGGAACATTGTTTTTTTCTGGATGACAGCTTTCAGAATTCTTAAACCGGCATGGGTAGGATGGTAGGGATGTTCTGGCAGTTGTGGCAATGACATAAATAAAAATTAAAAGTTTCCAAATGCTAATCTAATTTCAGAAAATAGTTTTGGAGGAACTCAACCCTGTAGAGTTCAGTTCCTTTATCATGGTACTGCATTAAATCAGTACAATTCCTTCACAACCAGAGATAGGTCTATATTTTGCATTAATGTAAGAGGGAAACCAACTGTGGACCTTCATGTTGATTTAAATGGAGATGTCACTACTTAACATTTTTGTATGAACATGCCTAAGCTAATTTCATTACTTTGAAAAACACAGAAGGCTGTTTTCTAGCTAGGGTGCTGATTTTATGCTAACGTATGAAGGCTATAATTCATTTCACAAAGTTACAAAAGGCCTCCAAGAAGCAAGTGCCTTGTGTTTCACATCTGATCATTTGCACTAAATTGAGCATTCTTTGGGAAAAATAAAGCTTTAAAAATTAAGGGGCATAGTGAGCTCAGATGGCATTTATTTTGGACCATTTCAGTTCAAGCACAGTGATTAAAATGATTTAATTCTTCACTTTCTGTCACCTCTGATTTCTCTATGCAATGTAAAATATGAGTTATGTATTTTAAGAGAGGAACAGTAATTTGCATTATCTGCCTAGAGACATAATTATGAATTACAAAATGATTAAAACTTAGATTGCAAATGAAACAATTTGATTGTCTTTTCATACTTAAGCACAAAGCTAAAGGGTAATCTTTTTTGCCATAAATGACTGTAACGTAACATTCTTGCTTGTTAAATTGATTTACACCGGTGACATGCTTAAATTGTTCCAACAATTTGTTTTTGTTTTTAATCTTTTTGCATCAAAAATGCTTTGGGTTACCCTATCGATTTTGCTAGGGCACGTCAATGTCACCCAAAAAAACTGGTAATTTTGTTCTGTATGTTACCTAAATTTAAAATCCTCTTGGTAGAATTTTGTGTTGTGCAGGTAAGATGATGTCATTATCCAGCAATCAAGATAGTTAATTCAAACTAACTGAAAGCTTTCTACCCCTTGCTTTCAGGCTCAGAGTCTTCCTAGGCATCCTTCTGCCCTGGGAAAGGCTTTGCGATCCTTGGAAAGTGGAGGGGAGGGAGCCTTGGGAGAGGGCCTTTCATAGATGAACAATGGCCATCCAACTGCCAGTTATTTTTGGATATTAGACGCTTCCCCCTGTCCTAAGGCTCTCAACGGCTTCCCCAGAGCAAAAGAGAGTCCCAGGAAGCTTTGAAACCTGATGGATGGAACAGGAAGCCTTAAATTAAATTACGTGCAGTTGCCAGATGATGACATAATCCAATTTACATAGCGTATTCTACACCAAGAAGATTCCGGCCATAGGTTATCAGAAAAATTCAAGTTAGGTCATTTGTACATTCCTTCCTCAGACCAATAGAATAACTGTTGATTATGGGCACACAGCAAACCTGGTACGTACATCTTTAGAAAGGAATCTGAGTTTGGTGGGAGCTTTGTCTGCATCACTGAATCTAATTATTAAAGAATAGCTCCCAATGAACAAAATAGGGAGAAACACAAATGGGATTACATTTAACAGGCTTTCTCAGACACCATAGTCCAATCACCAGACAGCCCATATTGGTTTGTTGAGGGGGTTATGGTGATTATGCTTATTTATTTCCTGCCTGTCCTCTAATGATCCTAGGGTAGTGTGTGTTCCTCCTTCCCACTGTATCCTCACAACTCTTCACATTACATCAGTGTAAGCAAGTGTATCTGGGCCACCACTGAAGCTGAGTCTCTTGAGTCTACCATTCTAGACATGACTGTGCTGGCTTCCGTAACTAAAAAAGAGGGTCCTTAACTTAATCCACATGCCCCACTTGTTCCGTAAGCATTGTCCCACTAAATGTTTATGAACTCCATCTAAGAAGACAGTCACAAAAGATTAGTTAGGCTCCTTTTGCTTCTGCTTGTACTTCAGATGTTAGGAATCTCAGTTTGCTAAGGGGGAGGAGCTCTCTTTCTGAAACCTGGAAGAGTTATGTTAGAATGGATGGCAATGACATAGACAGAATAATGGTTTTACCAGGTAGATTGATTGATTGATTAAAGTTGTATATTGCCCAATTAGTGTTCGGCACTATTCTGAGTGGTTTACATCGAAAGTAAAATGAATATCAAAGAAATCTTAAATAATGTAGTAAGAGGTATACACCACATACAAACAAATAAGACAACAACCAACTAGTAAATCAAAGAAAAACCAAGCAAAGGCCAACAGGAAGCATGAAAATGGCCAATCCATGAAACATTAGGAGCGAATGCTTTCAAAGGCTTCAGTAAATAGCCTTGTTTTGATAATCCTCTAAAAAGGCTGTAAGGGAGGAAGGCAGATACAGCTCTGCTGGGGTTCCATTCCAAAGGGATGGGGCCATCTCCAAGAAGGCTGTTTCTAGTAGATGACTCCCTGGCCTCCTTCTGAGTGGTAACATTGAACAAGCATGGCTTGAGAGGATTGGGTGATGCAGGCAGGTGTTTTTAGGGAAAGACGCTCAGTAGCAAGGTCCCAAACTGTGAAGGGCTTTGTAAGCATGAACTAACATCCTAAATCTGGCCTGGTACAACACAGGCAGCTAGTGCAGGTGGGCAAGAACTGGAAAAATGTGGCTGAACTTATTCACATTTGACAACAGCCTGACTGCCACATTCTGCTTCTGTTGAAGTTTCTGGGTGAGCTTCATGGGAGAAGATAATTTCATTGTGGAATTGTCTCGTTCTATATTGCAGGAAGTGCCATGCTTTATAAAGCAGGTCTTCAGCTGGTTGGCAAACAGCAAAAAATACCAACAAATGACTCAAACTTTACATTGTAGATGTCATTATAAGAGGAGTTCATCTTAACATGATTTTTATCATTTGTATTATTAAAGTTGCATTTGTTATCAAACACATTTTGTAAAGCTGGTTGAGCTCATATTTCTTCTGATCAAGACTTATCAGTTCAGTGGCTGAGATGTTAGTGAGGAAGGAATCCATAATTAAGTGCCTAAATATAATTGCCCCAATTTTTCAGCTGCTATGTGGCTGCAAATCCCATTATAACAAGCAGAGGGGCCTGGGCTAAAAATATTTGCAAATCAGGTCAAGGCAGGTCAAATACCATTATATTTTACTTAATTTTATGGTTACAAATTAAATTGCAAAGACACAAATTATGCTATGTTAGATAGTAGATCTCAGCTCATTACAGTACATGAAAGCAGAATCTCCGGCTACAAGAAGGTAACTCAGAATGCAGTCTGGAAAAGAGAGACACAAAATACTGCTTCCTGATGGAAAAGAAGGGAAGACCCGTTGGCTCAGCAATGAGAGATGGGCTTCAGAAGAGATAACCAATTTGGTCCAATGTCATTTGTGCCTCCAGTCCATTAATTCATGAGCTTTCTGTTGACTTGCACCAAAATAGGTATTTTTGTTGTTGCATTTCACCATAGCCATGAAACTTGGGAGACACAATCAGCCCTACAGAGAGAAGTAATCCTGCCAAAATTCAGACAGCTAGCTTCAGGGGTTTGTGCCCTAAACACTTTTGCCTAGAGTGGTCCTGAGTTGACTAGATAACCGGGATATAAATAAATAAATAAAATGTCCATTTGTGCTATCGATTGACACGGACCTTGTAGGTTTCTCTTTTGCCCCATCTAAGTCTCTATTCTTCTTTGAATACAGTGAGTCGAGCTGAGATGTCCAGCGCTCCGTCCTGCCCGGTGACATTTGACTCTTTTCAGCCTGTCACACCTGACTCTGTGGCCAGGGCGATTGATTGCTGCCGTGCCACCACCTCCTCTCTGGACCCTTGCCCGGCCTGGCTAATCAAAGCATCCAGGCCTGTACCAACTGCAGGAGATGCTGTCTTGTTTCCAAATCAGTGAGATGGGATGTCAAACTATTGTGCAAAATCTGCAACACCTTCAAGGATTCACAAGGAAAACCTGATTTGACTGCAGTTTTATTCTTCTATATTTTGGTTCCACCTAGTGGCCATTTCTGCCTAAGATCTTGTAACAATATTGACTGGAATAAATGCAGTATATTGTAACTCTTTAGGTATCTGGCTGTGGAACTAGAGGTTGGTAGTTTGAGTTTTCACTGCGCTTCCTGGAAGAAAATCCAGCCCGTATAGTCTTGGGCAAGCTGAACAGTGCAAGGGTGCCCTCAAAAGAAGGGAATAGTAAATCACTTCTGAGTATTGCCTACCTGGAAAATCCTGAAAAGGGTCACCATAAATTGGACTCAACTTGACAGCATACAATTATTATTCTTATTATTACCCTCAATTTGCAGATTTCCACAATATTTCTTAAACATTTTGAACTTCAGCCTTGCTTCTGAACTTTGCAATGTTTCTGGGGCTCAATGTGCCCATCGCAGAACTGCTAGATAGCTCAGTGGATTAGGTTTCTGGCTGCAGAGACAGAGGTTGGGAGTTTGTTTCCCCACTGTGCCTCTTTGAAAGAAGCTGGACTTGATGATCCATAGGGTCCCTTCCAGCTCTGCAGTTCTAATGTGATTATCCTTATGTGTTCTGTATTAAAAGTGTTCTTGTGTGTGTTCTGTATTAAAAGTGTTCTTGTATGTGGACGTGGTGGTGCTGCGGGCTAAACCGCATAGCCTGTGCTGCAGGGTCAGAACACCAGCAGTCGTAAGATCGAATCCACACAACGGAGTGAGCTCCCATCGCTTTGTCCCAGCTCCTCGCCAACCTAGCAGTTCGAAAGCATGTAAATGCAAGTTGATAAATAGGTACTATCTTAGTGGGAAGGTAAAATGGCATTCCCTAGTCACATTGGCCTCATGACAATGGAAAACTGTCTTCAGACAAGCAGTGGCTCTACGGCTTGAAAAACGGGATGAGCACCGCCCCTAGAGTCAGACATGACTGGACTAAAAATGTCAAGGGGAACCTTTACCTTTATGCACATGCAGATTTGTGGATTGGGATGCAATTCCAACAAGAAAGGATGGGGAAATTCTTCTTTTTCATTCCTCACAAACTGAGAAACAAAGAAATATACAGAGTATCTGATCTTCAAATACAGGACAGATTAGGGCTTTATATTAGCTTTAAATTCCCAATCAAAGAGGTCTTATTTGTATGAAGGCTGCATCAAAGTAGAACAGGCAGGTTCAGTTCGAGATGATTTAGACTCACATGCCAAATAGGTGTAATCAGGAAGGGAAAGAGAAGAGTTGAACTTTACTCACTGGCAGCTTTAACATGCAATCTGAAGCACATGTCATATGAATATGTTTACCCACAATTAAAAGTGAGAATCAGAAACTGTCCACTGTTGGGGTGTTGTATCAATGCATTCCTCACAAAACACTTCCCGGAATTTTGTTCCCCTAAAGAACCACATATTACGTTCCAAAGCTACCCCGCTTCTTCTGTAACAGATGGTTGTGATGATTGACAAATCTTACCTGTTGGAAAAGCAGGTTTAATTTAGTTCATGATTCCTTAATTTGCCCCTGCCCCCACTAAAAAAAAACCTTCAGGAGCCCATAGATCTTTTCTACTTTACAGTTAAATAAAATAAAATAATTCAATACAACACATATCAAATTAACAGTTAGATCAAAAGCTATCCTGAACTGCTGGATAGCACAGTGGTTTAAGTATCTGGCTGCAGAGTCCAGAAGTTGGGAGTTCAGTTCTCCACTGTGCCTCCTTCAGAGGACCTGGGCTTGATGATCCAGCTCTGCGGTTCTAAGATTATTATTTATATACTGAGATCTCTAGCAATTCTATTTGATGCAGAACGACCATTCAAAGATCGAAATCATCAGAAGATAATTCCTTTACAACACAGGGTGTGTACTTTTCAGTTCCACAAAATTCACTATTAAGATGTGCAACACAACTCTCTTAAAATACTGTGTGTGGATGTGTCCTATATTAGAACAAAAGTGCTATTGAATACTGTAAAAAAAATCAGGTCCAAAGCACCAGAGAAGATAAGTAAAACATCTTAGATCAAAGGGCAAACTCTTGCTAAAAACATAAACAAAGTCTGGACACAGCAATCCAGTTATGATGGAGAAAGTACTGAATGCTGGATACTCTGCACACTGACATCAAGCAGGAAACCACTGACCTTCTGTCATTTGTCATCAAGTATTCTTAACTAGTTGGGATTCTTCACTCTCCAATTTAAGAAAACATTTTCATTTTCCAAGAGCAGACATAACGTTTTAACATGCGGTATAAACTTCACTAGATAGCTTAATGGTTTACTGTAGGTATCTGGCTGCAAGCCGGATGTTGGGATTTCCTTCCCCACTGTGCCTCCTGGGAGAAGAGCCCATCTGTGTGGCCTTCACCAAGCTATATAGTCCCAAGGCAGAAGAAAAAGATAAACCGCTTCTGTATATTCTCTACCTAGAATGGTCACTGGACATCAAAATCAACTTGATGGTATGCAATTATTATTATTATAATCTTCCTTAATAGTTACTGGAAATGACAGCTAAATATTTGGCTGGTGAGATTGATTGATTGATTGATTGATTGATTGATTGATTTATATGCCGCCCACACTACCCAAAGGTCTCTGGGCGGCTTACAGCATTTAAAATACAATAAAGATATGTAACAATTAATCAAAAGCTATCCTGAACTGCTGGATAGCGCCGTGGTTCAGGTATCTGGCTGCAGAATCCAGAAGTTGGGAGTTCGGTTCTCCACTGTGCCTCCTTCAGAGGAGCTGGGCTTGATGATCCAGCTCTGTGATTCTATGATTATTATTTATATACTGAGATCTCTAGCAATTCTATTTGATGCAGAATGACCATTCACAGATCAAAATCATCAGAAGGTAATTACTTTACAACACAGGGTGTGTACTTTTTCAGTTCCACAAAATTCACTATTAAGATGTACAACGAATGATGACACAACTCTCTTAAAATACTGTGTGTGGATGTGTCCTATATTAGAACAAAAGTGCTATTGAATACTGTAAAAAAAATCAGGTCCAAAGCACCAGAGAAGATAAGTAAAACATCTTAGATCAAAGGGCAAACTCTTGCTAAAAACATAAACAAAGTCTGGACACAGCAATCCAGTTATGATGGAGAAAGTACTGAATGCTGGATACTCTGCGCACTGACATCAAGCAGGAAACCACTGACCTTCTGTCATTTGTCATCAAGTATTCTTAACTAGTTGGGATTCTTCACTCTCCAATTTAAGAAAACATTTTCATTTTCCAAGAGCAGACATAACGTTTTAACATGCGGTATAAACTTCACTAGATAGCTTAATGGTTTACTGTAGGTATCTGGATGCAAGCCGGATGTTGGGATTTCCTTCCCCACTGTGCCTCCTGGGAGAAGAGCCCATCTGTGTGGCCTTCAGCAAGCTATATAATCCCAAGGCAGAAGAAAAAGGTAAACCACTTCTGTATATTCTCTACCTAGAATGGTCACTGGACATCAAAATCAACTTGATGGTATGCAATTATTATTATTATAATCTTCCATAACTGTTACTGGAAATGACAGCTAAAGATTTGGCTGGTTAGATTTAGTTCAAATCAAGGTAGTAGGTGTACTATTCAATTAGCACATGTATTATTTTGTCAACATTTCATTATCATCTCAACAAATGGCCCATGTTATCACTGTAACTCATCAATGACTTGACAAGGATCACAGATAAGATGGCTGCTATATTTTTGCCTGGTGCAAATACAAGGTGAAAGATGTAATGCTATTCCTCCCTCCCTTCTTCCCACACACATTTTAACTGATGCTTTGGATTAGATGAACTGCCTGGAACAATGACACTTCCCTTGAGAACTTCCAATTCTAAAATCAGAACTCGAGCTAGGAAGCCTCTTTTTTATTGTGGGTTGTTAATCAAAATCACAGGACATTGTGCAATACAACACTGTATCCCAGAATAATTTTTTAGAAATCAATGTTTTATTATCAAAACACCTGACATTGTGATTCATGTAAATTAAATGCACTATTTTATCTTTCAGAAACACACTGCACTTTTATTATTGTTACTGTTAACTTGAATGAATAGAAAAATCCAAAACACAGTAATTTTGGAAAGACTTTTCCGTAAAAGTATAGGTCAAAGAAGTGAGAAAGACAGCAAGGATGAGGCTTCCCTCATTGGAGCATTGTCTGTCATAGACCTGCAAAGTAGAATGAAAGAAGAAAGCATGGTTAGAACAGCTCAAAGGGGGGTGCAGGATAGGCACACTGAGGAAAGGGAATCCAATACCCTGGTGTCAGACTTAAGGGGGATGGGTATTGGAGAAGGAGAAGGAAAAAGAGCGGGAAACCAGAAGAAGACAGAGACCTGGGAGGTGGGGCAAGGGGAAGCTATAAAAAGGGATGAGCCCTTGCCTCTGGGGTGGGAATATATATGGATGGGAGAAAAACAGAGTTCCTCGCAAGGAGGCAGATTACAGGAGAAAATCCTCCATTCCAGTTCGTCTTTCTTAGAAAGAGGCTAAGGAGTGGCGGAGAAAGCTGAAGGAAAAGAGAGAGAGTCTTTCTTAGAAAGAGAGGCTAAGGAGTGGAGGAGAAAGCTGAAGGAAAAGAGAAAGAAAGTTGAGTCAGAAAGATAGGCAAGGATGGAGGATTCTGGATATGAGAATGGAGAAGAAAAGGGATGGCAAGTACTGGATACCCAGTGGAACAAGATTCCCAGAGATGACACTGTGTCCCTGTTGCCAGGTTCGCCGACCCCCACTTTGAAGCACTGGACGTCCACTTATCTCCCAGGACCCTGGAATACTAGTTATAACAACCCATTTGTTATGGATGAAAGGAAACCCCTGTTGGCCACATTGGCTGAAGAAGATATGAATTCAGATACAATTGAAGACACTGGTTTATTTGTTAAGAGCACAATAAATGTTCCTTTGTTAGAAAAGAAATCCTCATCTGAACCATTCCTTTCGACAAGCCAGAGTTGGCCCCCACACGAACCGAACCCTCACAGAAGTTATGAGCCTTTTGTTTTCCTTATCATTTCTTCCATTTTTTTCCACTCTTCATTGGTAACCTAGCAAAGAAAGTAAATTTAGTTGAGAGACTGAATTCTACATTTCTTTGTTTACACTACATTTAAATACATTTAAATATAATGACCTTCAAAGGTAAACACTTTAAAATCCCATTGATATCAAAAGGAAAGGAGGCACTTATACTGCAATACGATTCACTGAAAGCAATCGGCCTAAAAAGCTCTATGAGTATAATTCTCTTGATTTCTGACATTGAAATGTGAGTGGAGATGCTTGTGCAGGCAGAAATGGCCTTTCCTGTGCACCAGGAGGTATCAGGAGGCTCAGGAGCACCTGGGAATTTGAGAAAGTACAAAACTCTTTGGGGAAAAATTATGGGTGGAGGTGAATGAGGATGAAGTCAAAACAACTTACTAAGGACTAGATGTGCTCAGGGATATGCAATTCTGACTTACAATTGAAGAAGGATGAAAAACAAGGCGAGGGGAGGGTAACAAAATGGAGTATTCAGAGGATAGGATGCTTGAATGTACAGAATACCAAAGAGGAACATTCAACACCAAAACATGGTGTGATCTTTACCTTATGTAGGTAATTAAACTCTCCAGCCATAGACACATATTCACCACCATCCATTCTGATGGCCTGAAATGTTAATGAATTTTTCAGTAAAACTATTCCAGCAACAGTTCAAACTAGTTCAATTTAGCATGGATTTTAATCAATATGCTAATAAAATGCAGTGCAGCCAAATACAGAAAGTACCTTTAAAGCCCTGACATTATCTTCGTTGAACAGAGTTACATTAAGCTCAAAATATCTCTCATCACTTAAGATCAGAAATTCTTTTTAAAAGTACCGTTTCCCTGAAAATAAGCCCTAATCTGAAAATAAGCCCTAGTATGATTTTTCAGGATGCTTGTAATATAAGCCCTACCCCAAAAATAAGCCCTAGTGAAGTGAAACCCCGCCCTCCACCATTGTACAGCATTGTGCAGCAACCAGAAGATGACATGACTGTAAAATAAAACATCCCCTGAAAATAAGCCCTAATGCGTTTTTCGGAGCAAAAATTAATATAAGAACCTGTCTTATTTTCGGGGAAACATGGTAGCTAAATTTATCTGTTAGACCTAGATTGCACTTTTATCCCCACAACGGGACTCTGGAGTGACTTCCTATGCATTTGCATTAAGTCCACTTAGCCCCACAGAAAATATGACTCTAAGTTGCCTTAAAAGGGAGCAGGCTGAAATGGCTTGAAGAATGAAGTTTTCTTCATCAGTAGCATTGTATGTCAGGCACAAGTATCTACTCAGAGTTATAACTTACGGCTCCGTTAATCCAACTTGCATAATCACTACAGAGGTAGGTGGCCAGGTTTGCAATTTCTTCCACAGTTCCCAGGCGACCACAAGGAATTCTTTCGATCATTTTTTTCTCAAATTCACCTGTTGGGTCAAGACGGCTGAATGCTCCCTGAAGAAAAATATTGAGAAAACTATCATAAGCCCCCTATAAAAATATTCCATGAAATCTTCAAGATAACATACATCAGGGCAGCTAACCAGTTCAAAACCCTGGACTTTAACATTTTAACTGGGGTGGGGCAGTGATGGTTAGACAGCCATGGATATGATCATCATCGTCATCTTGGAACTGCAAAGCTGGAAGGGGCTCTATGTATCATCAAGTCTAGCTCCTGCCAAGGAGGCACAGTGAGTAATGGGTTCCCAATCTCTGGCTCCACATCCAGACACCTAAACCCCTGATTCAGATAAAAAGCAGACAAGGCAGTGTAAACATTCCTTTTGTTACACTACACTTAAATATGCAAATCCATGCTTCAGAACTGCTTCTGCACTTCTGGTTTGGAAGGAAGGCAACAACACAGATCTTGCTGTATGATGAAGAAAAGAAGTACATTAGGGTACTTCCAGTTTGACATTTTCATCTCACGTCACTGTACCATCATAACTCCAAGGTATAAAGTGGAGCTTGCCTCTGCTTCCCTAAGGTAAATCCATTAAAATAATAATAATAAAGGATGCTGCAGTAACCAGCACAACTTTGATAGTCACAAAATGCCAGGACACCAATTCCCGTGTCACTGATGCCACCATCTCCTACTGTGCTCTCTGATAACACAAATATATAAGAAGTCTGTGTATTGCAGAACAGGAGTGTTTCAAGCAGTGTATAGAATGTTTTTGAAAATGGAAAAAATATCCCGCTGTTTTTTCTGAAACAATTTGTATTTCCCAAATTCATTCTTTTCAAACAATAAATTAGCAAAAAGAAAACAATGCCAGTACAGCAGGGCTACCACGTCCACGGGATCAGTACTTGTGACTTCATTTATCTGCTGCCTGAATATATTTAATAATTTCCCTCCTAGAAACGCATATTTCCAAGATGTATTACCAGAGCTGGCCACTAGAGAGACTCTGCTATATGCAGGGTTTACTATGATCTGCTGTTTGTGGCATCTGCAGTAGGTCTTGGAATGTATCCCCCAGTATCCTACTGTACGTTACTAGGCAGCTTGGCTGATTTCAATCTATATTGTTTTTGAAGACTTTTTCCTAAGGCATGTGTTACAGGGTAAAGACATGGTTTTATTCATTTGTAAATGGGGTTAAAGTTAAAACTACAAATTCATATAATAATTCAAACCAAAACACAAGTTATGAATCCAGCTGATCAAACAGAGTATATAAAAACTAAACTTAAAATCCTACTTTTGCTTCAGATCCCACAATTTATGCAGCACTAAAATTATGTTCTACTTTCAGTAAAGGGCAGTGCCGCCTTCTCCCATAAATCTCCTTCCTCTGCACCACTTAGGAGGACTAACTAGAGATAGTCACACTGGTCTCTTAGTGTTAGCTGATTAACATACCAGGCAACATGTGCCCCTAAGCACAATCTTGGATCACAACTCTCACAATCCCTTACTACTTGCTATGCTGGCCAGGGCAAAGGGAAGTTGCAGTCCAACATCTGGAAGGCTACTGGCTGCCCATTTCTGCTTCTTCAGATAAAATATAAAATTATTTTTGAGAGTGTAGCCAGAAAAAAAAAGTAGTTGACACTCAGGACATCTTCTGTTATCAAGAGTGCAATCTCAAACGAGCTATACTTACATCATTAAATCCTGAAGTTAGATCAGTGGTTCTTAACCTTTTTGAAAGAAAC